AATACCCTCCAGGGCAAGGTCTCCCCTCCTTGCCAACGAAGAAGCACAGCAGCCCACACAGTAACAAGGTTGGGAAGCCCTGGTTTACTGCCTAAGGTGGTTGGGCCTGACTTTTGTGTTAACAGGACCTGCCTGGTTGTGTCGGAAGCAACTTTAAAAGTGGCAGAGCAGAAGCGGAGGCTCTGTTAATTCAGGTGAGAAATGGTGACGACTCAGACCACGGGGGTAGAAGATCTACTCTGCAATTCAGGGCTCCCTGTTCTACCCTTCCTGCCTCTTCCCTCTTTCTCTCTCCACTTTCTCTTTAAAAAAAAAGATTTTATTTATTTATTTTTAGAGAGGGGAAGGGAAAGACAAAGAGAAGGAAAGAAACATCAATGTGTGGTTGCCTTCCACATGCCCCCACATGTACCCTGACTGGGAATTGAACCGGTGACCCTTTGGTTTGAGGCCAGCACTCAATCCACTGAGCCACACCAGCCAAGGCTCTACTTTCTCAATAAACATCGACAGAACCCTTACTAAGTGCCTGGGAGATTCCACAGACGTGGCCCACCAGGAACCTCATCTGTTTGCCCAGACTTAAGCTGAAGGCAGCAGAGCTGCTGGGAGCAGTTGCTGACGTGGAGGCAGACTTCGGGAGGTCCACTTGGGGCTGTAGATGGAGCTCTGTGACAACTGTCCCCAGCTGCCATCTACTCAGACACTAAAGAAAGCCCAGAATGAGTGCGGGTGGGTGAAGTGTTCATCCGGCTGCAAAAGCCAAAACCCTGGAAATCATCCTCATGCCTCTGCCTCCCTGACCTCTGGCTACCTCTGCCTCCTGGCACACGTCCCCAGTTCCTCCAGAATGTCTCCAACCTGGTCACATTGCTCCATCTCTGTCGCTACGACGCCAGTCCAAGCTACCGTCACTTCCCACCTGGTCTCTCTGTTGTCGCTCTTTTGCCTATTTGATGAATGTGTGCATTGACTTTTCTTTGATTATTGATGACGTTGAGCTTCTTTTCCTAAGTTTATTGGTGACTCCTCTTCTGTATTTTGGTTGTTTGTATGTTTTGCCCATTTTTCTCTTTAGTTATTTTCTTACTGATTTGTTGCAGTTCCTGATTCTGGACGGCAATCCTTGTTTGATTAATTTCTTATAAATATCTTTTCCCCAGTCTATGGTTTGTCTTGTCACTGTTTGTGTGGTGTCTTTTGATGAATGTAAGTTCTTAATTTGGAGGTAGTTAGATTTATCATTCTTTTATTGTCTAGTATGTGCTTTTTGTTTTATTTAAGAAAACTCTCCATATTCTGATGTCATAAAATGATTCTCCTATATTTTCTTCCGAAAGGTCGAAAGATTTGTCTTTTGTGTTTAGTTTTTTTATTCACCTGAAATGGATTTTTGTGTTTGGTCTGAGGCAGAAATCGAATTCAAATATTTTTCTCACATGGAAAATTGCATTAGTTTCCGATCGCTGCTGTATCAATTCACCATCGATCTAGGGGCTTAAAACAAGACAAATGTATCATCTTACAGTTCTGGCAGTGAGAACTGGGTTCCACTGGACTGACATCAAGGCGTTGGCAGGGCTGCATTTCCATCTGGGGGCTCTCAGGGGTGTGGAGTTTTCGGTTTTCTCTTTGTCCAGATTGTAGGGGCTGCGCGCTCGGGGCCCCCGTGTCCTCCAAGCCAGAGGTGGCCAGTCCCTTTTCTCTCGCCTCGCCTCTCTGACACGAACCCTCCTGCCTTCCCCTTTCACGCATCAGCACCCTGGTGGTTACATCGGGCTCACCCAGATAATCCAAGATAGTCTGTCCTGCTTCAGGATTGTTCAGTCAGTGACATCTTCGAAGTCTCTTCTGCCATACACATTAACACAGTCACAGGTTCAAGGGGTGACCATGCGCACATCTTTGGGAGACCATTATTCGGTCTCTTACAAAAATCAATCGATTCAGCACACTTTATTAGATCTTTTCCGAAGCTGGGTGTGAGGGGAGGACACTGGCCCCGGGGTGTCCTCACCACCAGAGTGCTGACTTTGTGCCAGGACTTTCTCTAAGCATTGTACACATATTATCTCATTTAATTCTTACAACACGCCTTGGTGCTCCATGCTACTTATAGTCTTGCCTTAGAGACGAGTAAAGTGAGGGACAGAGTGGTTAAGTTCCTTGCTCATAGTAGGCAGTGGCAAACCCCCCAGGAATGTGGAGTTGGGCTCCAAATTCCGTGTGCTTAATAATCACGCTATTGCTGAATGAACTAATCAAGTGAATACATTTAGTTTCCGTTAGGTGTGTGGCACAGCCTAAGTCATGTCATTTCTCTGAGCCTCACTTTCATTACCTGTAGAACTGGATTAGTTGTGCATGTCTTCCGTGCATCACAGGGCTGCGTCTAGGGCATGCTGAGACAAGTCTTAAGGAAGCCGTTCAGATAAGGAAAGCAGGCTCCCAGATTGTTCCACTGTGTGTTGCTGGCAGAGGCAGGACCGGGACTCAGGTTTCCCCGCAGCCAGGCGAGGGTGGGCCATTTCCACCACGGGGTGGTAACTGCAGCAGGTAGAGATCGCAGTCGTCCAAGGGCACGTTCTCCGTCACCCGCCCCCTGCGCCGGAACAGCCGGCGTCAAAGCCATGTTTCTATGGGTCCGATCACCTGTAGTTAAGGATTTCACGGAACCTCAGATGATGCTGTTACAAAGCCCAAATATAAAATAATACCTTTTAGCTGAAACAGGGTAAGGTTTGCAAACATTATTCAGTATCAGACCTAACGGTGACAGGCAAGAGTAAGAAGTTAAATAGGGGAAAATGTAGGAGAATATTTTGCGACCGTGGGTGGAAAAGATCCTTAAACAACACCCCAAAGCATATTCCACAAGGCTAAAATTGGATGCATTTGGCTACACCGAAATTAAGGATTTCCCCTGTCTGTAAGATAGCAAAACCCAAGTTAATAGGATGCATGAAATATTGGGAGATTTTGTAATGCCCAAGCCTGATAAGGGATTAATATTTAGAATATATAATAAGTCTTTCAATTCATTCAAAAAATAATAGGAAATCCAGTAGAAAAATAGGCAAAGAATGTCCAGAGATACTTCACAGAAGGAAAAAAAATCTCAAGGATTCTTAAGAATATACGGAAAAATGATTGCCATCACTAATCAAAGAAATACACATGAAAATTACAATGTGATATTACTCTACCAATGTCAAATTGATATCAATAGGGACATCAGGTAATACCAAATGTTACTGTATAGAGTGGGGAAACAGGAATCTTCCTACCTTTATGTGTCAAAATGTGCAACACGACAAAGCCATTCTGGAGAGCAACACGTGGCAGAGTGAGACTAAGCACTTGTAGACTCTGTGACCCAGCGATTCCATTTTTCTTGTGGTCCATAAGAGACGTGTCCCATCCCAGAACTATCTGTGGTACCAAGGAACTGCTGGCAACATAACTGTCCATTATTTCAGGAACTGATATGTAAAATATGTTAGATGCACAAATACAATTCCATCAATGATAGGAATTAATGAACTATCCATGAGCCCCATGAATAGATCCCTAAAGCATTGTGCTGAGGAAAAACAAGAAACAGTGAGTTCTAGGAACAAGACCATTCATTTATATTAAAAAATAGATACATAGCCCTGGCCAGGTGACTCATTTAGTTGGAGCATCTTACTGTGCACACAAAGGTTGCAGGTTCACTCCCCAGTCGGAGCACATACTTAGGTTTCAGGTTTAATCCCCAGTATGGGTGCCTACAGGAGGCGACTGATGGATGTTTCTCTCTCTTCCTCTCTCTCTAAAATCAGTAAACATATTCTCAGGTGAGGATTAAAAAAATAGATACATTAACTAAAACCAGTATCTTTCCAGGATATATACTTGTACTGGGACATAAACATAAACTGGGAGGGTGCAAATGGGTGGTAGAGAAAATGGACCTATGGAGAGAGAATGAGCGGAAAACAAAAAATAGAGAGCGCGCAAGCCTTGCTAACCCTTGTGAGCTGAAGAGTGTATCAACCAGGTGCAAACACTCGCCCTAGTCGTTCTGTCATCCCTTCCAGTTCTTAATAGAATCAAATGCAAGTGACTCAACGTGGCTGCCCAGAGTAGGGCCTCTCTGCATAAAGAACTTGCCTCCCTTCCATTCATTTGCCAAGCATTGGCTTCCCAGCACCACAGGCACTCCAAGTTCTGCTCTGATCGGAAGTCCCACAACCACAACACGTCCAGGCTTCAGTCCGCAGTCGTTTTAGACTTATTGTTTATTTCTCCTGGAAAAATCCTATTGATCGTTTAAGTTTCAGTTTAAGTGTCTCCCCTCCAGAAGTCCTTTCCTGCCTGCTGCGCTTTCCCAAATGCCAGCCTCTTCAGGACCTCATTTCCATACCCCCTTCCCCATCACCCCCGTGCAAGCCTCGGTGCAACTGCTTATTTTGGGTTTACATCCCTCCCCCAGGGCTAGCGCTGAACTATCCCCGGGGCGATGAGAGGTCCCAGGAATAACTGGTAGGTTACTCCAGTCTAGCTGGTTAAACTAGACCCCCGCCCACCTCCCCTCTCCTTCGCTTCCCCTTTCAACGGTTCAACTTCACCGCCTGCCCCCAGCCGGCCCCTACACGCCTCCAACCTGGCCCCAGTACCCCGCCCCCAGCCCGCCCACTACACGCCCCCAGTCTGGCCTCCGCCGGTTAGGGAAAGTGGAAGGCTCTGCGCACGCGCGGCGGGCTGGGGCGCGCTCGGCGGAGGGCTGCGAGTACAGACGAACGGTGGGGGCCCAGGCCGCCAAGTTGTGAGGCGGTTGCGTCCGACCCGCGAGCGCGAGGCTCCGGGGAGGGGGCGGGACTGAAGCGGGAGCCGAGGCACACCCCGCCCCTAGCCCCGCCCCCTCAGGCCGCCCGCGAGCCCGCCCCGCCCCCTCGCCGAGCCCGCCCCGCCCCCTCGGCGGCCGCGCTCCTGCTCTAGCTGCTGGCTCGCCGCTCGCCGCCCGCCGGGTTCCCGCGGCCGAGAGCGGGAGAAAGTCCTGCTGCCGGGCGCCCGCGGGGCTGCGCGCGTCCGGCATCCCGGGGCCGCTCCGGCCCGGGCGGCGAGGGGGCCCGGCGGTCCATGCATCCGCCGCCGCCCGCCGCCGCCGCTGCGATGGATTTCAGTCAGAACAGCCTGTTCGGCTACATGGAGGACCTGCAGGAGCTCACCATCATCGAGAGGCCGGTCCGCCGGAGCCTCAAGGTGCGCGTCCCGGGGAGGCAGACCTGCCCGCAGGGCGCCCGGAGGCTGGCCCCGGCCCCGACCCCCGTCCTGTCCCGAGGCGGCCCCCTCTCGGTGTTCGGCGGGCCCCTCGGTGCTCCTCCGGTCGCCGTGTCACACGAAACCGGCCCTTCCCGGGGCCCCTTCTTCGACGCATCCCCAGTTCTCCCAGCCTGGACCCCCATCCTCGAGGGACGGGCCGCTGGCTTTCTCCCCTGACCCGGGCCGGCCCCGCGGCTCCAGGGCACCCGCGGCTCCCCAATGCCCGTCCCCAACCTGCCCCAGGAACGGCCGGCGGAGCCGGTCCTTCGGACCAGCCCGCGTCTCCCCGGCCCCTCGCCGCCCCTCTCGGGCTGCCGCGGCCCCTAAGGGGCGGCCCCCTTCCTCCCGCCCCTGCAGGAGCTCCTCCTCGGGGCCGCAGCCGGCTTCTCCTGGGTCCTCTCCGGGGTGCCCCTCCCGGTCCCCTGGTGCTGCCGCGGTTCTGGCCCCAGTCCCACACTCCTCAGTGAACACAGCCGCGATTGCGCGCCCCCCACTCTCCTTGAGACACCCCAGATCTCATCCCCCTTTCTCCCCATCAGAACGAGCCTAGGTCCCCCTGCCCCCGAGTCGTCCCGGGCCTCCCTTCCCCTCCCGACCGGCACCCAGCCCGGGGCCGTCCTGCTACCGATCTTCAAAGCTCCGTCGGCCTTTCCCGTCTTCATCCTGAGTCACCACGGGTCCTTCCCCTCCTTCCCTCCCTGCCCCTCCACGATTCCAGTCAGGACCCTGCTCCCCACCCCCCTCGAGGGAGTCAACCTTCACTGGCTCCCCCCACCCCCACCGGCTCCCCACCCGGCGAAGTCCTCCTCCTCCCCAGCCTCCCAGAGGCCCCAACCCTCGCTGCCGGCAAACCTAGTTTACGGACCCCCCGCCCCCAGCCATCCTCTTAATAGCTCCCTCAGCTCTTCCTACTCCCACCTGCCGCAATATCTCGAGTCTTTGATTTCCTTCCAGCCCCAGATTTTATTCCCTCTCCCGCCCCCCAGCCCCACAGATTTAGTTTTTTTTTTTTCATTCCCACTGGGCTGCAGTCCTCATCCATCACCCTTTGAGCGTTTCCTGGGTGGAGAAACAGCCTTGGGGTATTAGGGAGAAAAAGTATGTATAAATTCTATATATGCATATACAATTGATTTCAGCAATGTTCCGAAGTCACGATGTGATTCTCAAGCTTCAATCTAGAAGCTAGAAGAGAGGGAGAGAGAGAGAGAGAGAGAGAGAAGAAACAAACAAAAACCAAACCCCAAACCTCCACAACCCGAACTCAACAATTAGAGACAATTAGAGAGACCCCCTTGGTTGGCGTAGTCACCTAGAGTCCTCAGACCCTTGCTTAGTTTTCAGTGGTAACGCTTGAATCAATGGGGAAACTTTTTCGTCCGTCGGTAGTAGTTATATGTATAAGGGCCCCGGGGGCAGCCTTGGGAGGGGGGAGGCGAAACTGACGGATGTCGTGTGCATACTTTCTGTTTTACACTTGACAGACACCAGAAGAAATAGAAAGACTGACAGTTGATGAAGACCTCAGTGATATTGAAAGGGCTGTTTATCTGCTCAGGTATTTCCGAATGTCCTTTTGTGAAATTGCTGCCCTTTGCCTGCGGCTGCACAGATGAACGCCTCCTGAAATGTCATGTTCAGTTCTGTTCAGGTTTACCTAGCCGTTTGAACAAGGGCGTTTTTGCATGCATAGCCCTTCGTCATGTTACAAATTAAGACCCCAAATGTATGGGCTTATACATTTGAGAACTGAAATCAGATAAGATACCTGACTTAAAGAATATTGCTTGGAAGGGGAGGAATAGAGTTCATGGTTTGAGTTGAATCTCATTCTTTTTTTATTTTCCAGCTTTGGTGGTCCTCCAGTAACATCCAATAAGTTTAGATGAGACTGAAGGATATCTAGGGATTAATTTAAGTTAATCGTAGAGTGTGAACCTTATATACTATTTACTATATAGAAAAAATTCCACCAGTTCAATTTGTTGCTCAGAATATACTGCTCATATTACTTTTGCTGTGTGAGCTTTATAATAATGCTTGAGAGATCTTAAAATGTAATTGCATCTACTCTCATTTAAGCTTCATCTCCCAAGCTCTATAGAATTGCTGAAGGCAAATGTTTATTGCAAATACAAGATTTCTCTCCATGATTTAAAAAATTGTGGGGTTAGTTTCTTAAAAGCTAATACGACAAACATTAATGAACATGTCTATGAAAATACTTCAGAAACAGAAAATTTCCTAAGGTTTTTTGCATACCTTGGTTTTAAATTTTTTCTTTAACTTGAACAGTATGTTTTCCCTGTTTTAGCCGATTAGTTTTCACTTTTGTTTTTCAGAACCAGATTTTGAAAAGTGGTATTATTTCCCCCCCTCCCCCGGGATGCTTGTCATCCTTGTTGGCTCAGCCTAGGTCTGCTTTACCTGTTTCAGGAGCTGGCAGGTTACTTGTTCTTCTTTCTTGTCTATAGATCATGTTTCTTATCCTGTGTTATTCATCCAAGGGTGCTGTAAAAAAAATCCCCTGTCTCTGACACCCATTATAAAAATGATTCTTTAGCCTATAGTGGCATCTTGGGGCTCTGTTCTTAGTTTAATCAGAATTTCAGCATGCTTACAATTTAGACTGTCTTCTCTAATAATTCTGTCACTTTAAAGGGTTTCTGGATCTCGGACCTTCTGTTGTTATTGTTAGCACACTCTCATCATTTTCACCTATTTATTTAAAAGAGAACTGTATTATTGCTGTATAAATCAACAGTATCTGTTTTGGTGTTTACATAGAGAATAACTCGACATTTAACCTATGTTGATATTTTATTGTTATATTCAAAGTACTTTATTCCTTAATAATTAACATGTCCAACATGGTGAACAGTAGTTACAAGCATCTGTCTTTTCCCGCAGTTCTTTGGATTGGTAGGTAGACAATGTGCAAGTTTGGATAAGTGTATTTTAACATACAGCCATTAATGATTTGACATAAGTTCCTGCTTACTCCTACTGAATTCTTTTCTTTGTATAAACGCTGGCTTACAATTAGGAAATGGAGAGTCTTGCTCTACTTAACTTGCGACAGCAGATACCTTATTCTAGATATCAGCGACAAGGCTGCTCTTTTAGGATAGCTTATTTGTTTTCTATTTTACTTTCATTGTTTGTTAGCGAACCCGGCCTTCTGAGTTGTCAGTATTTCTCAGCCACAGAACATGAGTTTCATCCAGTCCTGCAACTGACAAAGCCGCGATAGAGACAGATGTGTCCTCTCATTCTCAGACGAGAGAATTTTAAAGAGATCCGGTATCTCCTTTAGTTTCTTGTGGCTCATCTACCTTGAAGGAGGTTTGCAAGGTGACTGAGAAGGCGAACACTGGTTTGCTTGTGTCTGGGTCTCCAGCCGAGTGCGTCTTTTGTATGCCCAACATCTCACCACCTCCTGGGGGAAAGCGGGGTTTCACCTCGGGGCCAGATTCTGCAGGGATAACCCCAAGACTGCCTGAAAGGCTCTTTCTTCCCTGGGACTCAGGGGGAGGCCGTGGGGTTGTCTGTAGGCGTTTTCCAAACTTTGCCTGTTAGAACCTCGTCTGCTCACAGCCAGTGGGCCTTTTAATGAGCCTGCTATTTTAAATGCAAGTTTTTCCTTTTTAAAAAAGTTGCACTCCCCAGTGCTGTGGACTCTAATACTGAGTCCTGTTTTGTATTGTTTCCTCTCTCTGTGATTTTCAGGTTGATTTTCGATCTGTAATATCCAGATTTCTTTTTCTCTTTGCTTTTGAATATCAGATTTGTTTCTCTAGCTCTCTTATTTTGTATATTAAAACTATTTTGGAGTATTATGTTAAATTAGTATTTAGTCGAATGTGTCAGCATCAGTAGGAAATACTTTATATTGATGGAGATTCTGATAGCATTTCAATTGAATCTGGTATTTAAAAAAACATAGAGAGAGCACTGTCATCCAAGGAAAAACAAATGACACTGTTCGTTATCTTACCCTGAAGTATGGCAGATCAATTATTAATGCTGTTTTCACAATTAAGTGTAGAACATTATGGTATTTAAAGATTTGACACGGATGAGTTTGTGGTTTTGCATAAATATGATGCTGATATACTCATCTGTGGCATTTAGCGCTGAAGCAAAACGACTTTCCTAATAGTCACAGCTTGTGGATTAGTCAAAACCATACCACAACATCTTTTCCCTGTTCTCTGTCTTATTTGTAATTTTGGCATGTATTTTAGGAATGTACTTAAAACATTTGAATTACTTTGTTAGAGGTATGTACATATGCTGTGCTTTCACGAGGTATATCTTTACTCATATCTCTAGTTGCATAAGATAAATCATTTCAGACTTGTAAACTTGGCATAAGTGACTCCATCTTAGCTGTGCAGTGTGGTGTCCCACCAGGTCCTCACTTTATTTTAGCTGCTCGACTGAGATGTAGTTCGAATACCATACGGTTTGCCCATTGAAAGTCTAATGTTCAGTGGTTTTTAGTATATTCAGAATAGTGTAACCATCGCCACAGTCAACTTGAGAACATCTTTATTGCCCCAGTAACAAACCCTGTACCTGTGAGCAGTAGCCCTGTACTTCTTCCCGACCTTCCCAGCCTTTGGGAACCACTAGTCTACTTTCTGCGTCTATCAATTTGCCTGTTTTGAACCTTTCATGTAAATTCAATCACATGTGGCCTTTTGTGACTGACTTCTTTCACTTGGCATGCTTTTAAGTTTCATCTGTGGTGTAGCAAGAAGAATCAGTACTTTATTCCTTTTTATTGGTGAGCAGTGTTCTGCTGCGTAGGTATATCCATCCATTTTGTTATTCATTCATTCATCAGCTGGTGGAGACTCCGGTTGTCTCCTCCCAGCCCTTCCCTTTCTGCAACAGCTGTGCTGGCCGCTTCTCTGACGCTTAGATACATTGTGCTCGTCCTTACCTCCGCCCATCCCCATCCCAGACTACCCTTGTATTGTACCTCTCCAACAGTTTCCATCCCCGGGATCCGGCTGTAATCTTGCATCTTTCATAAGGCCTTTCTCGACTGCTGAAACCACACGGATCCTGGGTTTCTTTGAGCTCCCATATCACTTACTGGCTATATCCCTCAATTAATTAATTATTATTTTGGATTCCTTAACGTGTGTGAGTGTGTGGTATATATTTTCCTTAACAGACTGCAAGCTCTTGGAGGACAAACCATGTTTTATATTATTGCCATTCTGGTTCTTTCTTGTTCTTTGCTATGATAGAAATATGTACCTTTTGGTAGAATATAATGTGTTTGTATGAAGATGACCAAAATGCCAGGCCGGTTAAGCAACTTCTGAGGTTTTTGTATCATATGCGGTAGAATCAGACGGATTTTCTAAGTTATACCCTATTCTGCCTTTTACCATCTGCGTGACTATGGGCAAGTTACTTAGGGTTGTTAAGCCCTTGTTTTCTCGTCTGTAAATGGAAATCATTTCTGTCCCTTGAGGTTGTCACAACATGTGTAGAGCCCCTGCCACAGATTAGGTCCCTAATTAGTGTTAATTCCCTTTGTCACCTTTCCCTGCTTCCTTACCACTTAAGTGCTCGAAGTAAATTTCAAACTTCAAAAGAGCATAACAGTATTAATTTTACCTTCCAATAATTTAATAAAGTAACAAGGTGACGGGTATATGAGCTGAAGTTTGTGATAAATGTCTATTAAGTTTCTTTGCTAGTGGTATTTATCAGAAACCAGAATCTTCACAAATTATAGCATTTTAAACTGCTATAATTTGAGTTAGAATTAAGGTCAGATTGTGTTGCAGACTTTTTTGACCTTAATATTTGCTATGCACATTATGTGTTAAACGTGTTGGCTGGTTACCATACCAAACCTGACATTTATGTTGCCTGCATTTGCAGTCACTCGTCACTTTGAAACTGTTCTTCACTTTGCACTGTGAATTTGAAAACATTTTGCACTTGACTGTCCAGGGACGGTCTGGGTGAAAGTGCATCTTTAGAACTTTTTCCCTTTTCTTTCTCTTCCTATTTTATTTTTGTAAGGAGTATGTGCTCCCCCTAGTGCTATCGCAGAGCGAGAATTCCACAGCCGAACCTGGAAATAAACACAAGTAAGGGTCTGACTGTATCAAGCAGTAACAATCCTCACTTTCTTAGAATTAGGGTTCCCTGAAGGGTATTCAACCCTTGAAGATGTGGGAGGCGTGGAGAAAGGGTCAGGACTTAGTTTTCCACAGGCACCGCTTTTGGTTTTATCCTTTGGTACGTGGTAATCATGTCAGAAATAATGGCAAAATCTGTCACAGCTTCATGTGTGCATGTGACTTACAGGGTGACTTTTCATCCAGATCAGAGATGTTAATAATGCGAGCTATTGGTTTCTCAATGAACAGTTACTTTAGAATGATACCAACTTGTTGAGTACCTACTATTTGTTAGGCATCTCTGGGGAGAGTGAATGGCATTGTACCAGCAGATACTTGTGTTCAAGGAAGCACTCATTTAAGAAAGCAAATGTATTTTTCTTAAATTTCAATAGTATAGAAT